TGCCACGAGAAGGCAGTTAGTAGAACGTCACTGTGAAAGGCTATATACGCGTGGCAATGTGTGAGCATTTGGAGAGGGAAAGCGGACTCTCCCTACTCTCAGCCGTATCAGGGCATTTAGGGGTAAATAAAGCCGTAGTAAGTCTATGGTTCAAATTCTAGATATTAGTGATTTCAGTACATAACTGAAATGCTGATCATATACAATTCCAGTAACCAGGTGAGTCCAATCCAATTTCAGTTGTTAATCTTAATACTAATGAGTATATTCTCGATCATAATGAGTCTGTATCCAATACATACTCTGACAGAAATACAGTAAACCTAAAAAAAGACATTCGCTTGGTTGCTGAAGCTTAGATTCCAGTTTAAGCTGTGGTGGTTGTGGTACTTGTGTGAATTAAAGATTCCTTTGTACTTGATGTGTGAGCGGTTTTGAGTTCAAACTACAATATGTTCGTCTGTGCTTACTTAAATTCGTTTGGCCTTATTTACGTTGTTTCTGGGAATCCTAGTTCTTCTAATAATTCAAACACGTCTACTCATAGCTCGTAAATCAGAAAGCTTTATTAATCCAGATCAAGTATATTTATTGGCGATCTCGTGGTATCGAAATAATACCGAGACGTGCCAAAGAGTACAGGCAAAATGAGCGGTGCGTGAGCAAGTTCGAAACAAACAAGGCGGAGAGCGAAACAAGAAGTGAAACTGATACAGTTAAACAAATACAGTAAAACAATCTCTGGTACAATTGGTTACAATAATAATAATTGTTTCCGTTATTCCAATCGTGTTCTTATCTAGACTGGCCGGTCACTACAGGAGCCCCCAGCTGGAAAGGGTTTACACTTTCGATACGCAGCGGTTTCATTCGTGGGACTGATCGCGAAACGTGCAATTGTAGGACGAAGGCGTTGGCAGAACAGGAAGTGATCGTTGATCCTCGAGTTGCCACCAAAAGTCTTTGACGTAGAATGGTACCAGAAGGAACGTACTGTATTGATTGCTTGGATTAGCGTGCTACACCAGAGTGGTTTGTATCCAGAATCTGAAGGTTGCGTTCGTAGAGGTCCGGACCAGAAACGCTGCGGACGTAGGACGAAACCAGATTGAGCCAAGGAACCAGATGCGACCAGGATAAACATGTTCGGGACCAAATGTATACTATACATATTTGGAGCCAGAGAGGTAGACTGAGTGCGTTGACCAGAGCGTGGGTGATCAGGCCAGCTTTCGCCAAAGTTGACTGAAGTCGACGATACCGGAACAGCGATGGTCGGAGGCGTAGGCTCGGGGAAAACAAAAAAATGAGAGAAAAAGAGAAAAGTGTAGCATTCGTGTAGTATAGGGGTAAGGTCCTATACTGTATCCACTGCTGGTTATGAGGTTAGTCGCGAAAGCGTACGAGTAGGTGTACTCGGCGACCGGAACGTGAGACTGTAGTCTCGTTCGAACCTCGTGAGCCCAAAATCTCATCCACAGTCAAGGGCGGTGTGATCTGCTGGTCTGGACGTGAGACGGAAGTCTCGTCCGTAGACGGGGCAGATGATACGTGCTGTTGACTGGGATGTGAGAATGAGGTCTCAGGTGCATCTACCGTGGGATCCGAAGTAGATTTAGAGATCCCGCTAGAAGCTTTGATGGGTCTCGACTTATCAGGTAGGGCACTGTCATCGACGTAAGCTGACATGAGACGACCAATGCTGACTACTTCGAAGCGGCCATGTCGATCAACCTTGAAGGTCTTTTCGTGACGGGAAATCACGTGAAAAGGGCCTTCGTAAAGCTGTTTGCTCAGATTGACCGTAAGTTGTCGTGTACCATAGTTAGAAATGACTGAGTCGTCCGCAGCGCATAGTCGAAGCATCGTAGCTTGAGATTTACTGTTACTGATAGGTACGACAGAAACTTGGGCACCCGTATCCACAAGGTACCTAGCGTCAGTGCAATAATCGTGCACGTAAAATAAACGGTCAAACTGAGGTGAGGGGCCGGTGAGAACGGCCGTATTTACTCACCGGCTCGGGAAGTCCCCGCCTTGTATGAGCAGGGAGTTCGACAATGACGGGAACCGGCCCCGAAGGCACGGTGGAACCAGCACCAACTCAGACTCGCTTCCGAAACCGCCTTCTGGCGTGGCTTGGAAGATGCCCGCTTGGGGCGAGTCGTCACGGCTGTTCGAGATCGTGACCTGGGTCGGGGGACGTAGGGGGCTGGCACATTTGAGCGGTCTCGGAAACTGAGACGAGTATGGATACATCTGCCCATATCCCCATGAGCCGAAGGTCGTCTAGCATCGAAATTCATGTTTGAACGAAAGTAGAGGCAACAATATAGTTGTCTTTGGCGCTAGCGCGTGCTAGAATTTTGTCCGCTATGAGGGCCACCTTGTTCAGTAGGGTGTCCTTGAGCAGAGTCATAAGAGTTGGTTGGATACCAGATGGTAATGCTTCGAGCCATAACTCTTTGACTATTTCGGAGTCGGCTGTCCAGTTTCCTGCAAGGGATTGCAGGCGCGTGAGGTGGTGGCTCGGCTTAGCATCACCCATAGGGTGACGTGCTAATAGAGTCCTCAATCGTTCCTCTCTTAATGGGAGGAAGTGTCGAAGGATGGCATCCTTAAGACGGTCGTAAACGTTCGGAACGTTCGGATTGAGGACAACCTCACGGACAGCAGTTAGGTGATCCCCGGGCAATGATTCCAAAGCATATGCGTACTTTTGCCTTTGGTTGGTTATGCGGCGGATCTCAAATTGAGATTCCAGTGCCGCGAACCAGACTTCTGGATCATGAGGGATGAAAGGAACCGGTCGAAAATTAATAGCCTGTACCTTGGAGTCTATAATATTTATACTATTCTTATCGTTATCCACCATAGTAAGTTGCCAAGATATTATATATTGAAAATATCAATACGAATATATGCAACAGAAGTGGATAGATACACAGACTCACCGAATTGATCTGGGTTGGAAAAAATGGCCAAGTTCGAACTGTGCTCGAGGAATTGGGTTACTGTTTGTGGTTCATCAGATGTTGTACGTGTTCCCAATACGGCTCACCAGTTTGTAGTGAGTAGCCCAAATACAGCTCACCAATTTGTAATGGATGTCGAGTCGAAGACGGACTATGATCACCACTACAATTCGTTTACGCGCCCAAAAACGACTTGGTTCCTTTAATAGCTCGTAAATCAGAAAGCTTTATTAATCCAGATCAAGTATATTTATTGGCGATCTCGTGGTATCGAAATAATACCGAGACGTGCCAAAGAGTACAGGCAAAATGAGCGGTGCGTGAGCAAGTTCGAACCAAACAAGGCGGAGAGCGAAACAAGAAGTGAAACTGATACAGTTAAACAAATACAGTAAAACAATCTCTGGTACAATTGGTTACAATAATAATAATTGTTTCCGTTATTCCAATCGTGTTCTTATCGAGACTGGCCGGTCACTGCAATGTGTTTCTATTCCTTTTAGTGTAATGCGATATCTTAGAAAGAGAACACCTTTCTGCAAAAGTCGACATTTAGATTATTCCACCTTCAGTTGTTTCAGATTTTCCCTCGAATAGGCATTGTGTTGTGTCGGGCTTGCTGCCATACATAATAATATCATGAAGTTATATTAGACACTCGTGTAGAACCAGGCAGTCTAAAACTGTCCGCATTATTCGTTTGAAGGTGGCTGGGACATTGTTTATTCCGAAAGATATCACTTGAAATTCGTAGAGCCCATTTGACACAAGTAAAATTTTCTGTCATGAGGTCCTACTTCCACCTGCCAATATCCGGATGCAAGATCTGAAGTCGGAAACCAGCAAGTGATGACGAGAGTAAAACAATCTTGCCCAGCATTTCTTTTATTATGGAGTCCAGCTGTAGTGATAAATAAATACCCAAAGTCTATAGCTCTGTAGGTTTTAAACATTGGATGCTGAACACATTAGTTTTAATGGACTCATTTAGCTGAAAGTGCTCGGTCATGCATCCGCACCAGATCACGAGTGGAAACGCCGTGCTCAACTACTCCTGCAACCACTAGCCGGTTTAGATCAGTCACTTCTGAATATATTGATAACTTATCAAATATATCTTCGATCCTCATCGCTTCTGACTTTTGATTTCACTAGATGCGTAGGATTCATAGTAGTTGTCATTGGTTAAAGCGTTGAAAAAATCCAAATATCTGTGGCATCTTCAACTTACACAGCTATCTGCTGTAATGAATGAAAATATTCGGCCACATCCTCGTTTGGCTGCTGAAAGCGGTGAGGAATTGAGTAGTTTTTGTTCAGTGTCCTCTGGCACAGGAAAACACTCGTCTATAATTTCCAAGTTATGGGCTGGTGGACTGACTGCCACGGATTCATGGCTGTTGCCCGCCTAGCTATTTCATCACCCAAGCATGATCGCAGATGGTAGTAGTGGTCTCCGATTGGGACGTAGGCACGACGTTGTGCTCGGTTTCCATATCAAGTAATCTGATTTAGTTTCCAACAATAACGTTTTCTGAATAGTTATGTCACGACAAGCTGAAACTCGTCAGGGAATTTGAAGTTGGCAGTATCATAATGGGATAGTGATGGAGGGAAATAATACTGAATCTTACAAGATGAATAAAAACAGCGATCATCATTTGCATAAATAGATCAACTGACAGCTTATGATCTCGTGGATGTTGAAAATTACATGGCACTGACCTCCACTCCAATGTTCATAAAAGTGAACCAGTCAGAAAGCAGACAGAGGTCTGGCGCGAAATACAACTGACAACCTCATTCGGTTTAGGTGATTTCGCTTCTCTCACTCTTGTGTTGTCGATTTCTCCCATCATTAAATGTAATTTCAATCTATGTGGTTGTTGATCCGACTTGGTTTTTCTATTGTTATCTTCTACAGCTCTCCATGATTATGCACTGCATTCCACCAGCATTCAAAGTACTTTCAGGTTAGACGCGAGCCGCCATACATACGTATAGACATGTAATTTTTAGGAGGGAATGTGGGTTTACAATGTAGTTTTCATCATCATACTGTTTGAAGGCCTGTGGTTTGCAGAGTTCAAGAGTGTTGACTCACATTGCATGTTGGCTAGAGAAATCATAAATAGATATATTTCCCGCCCCCCTGAACCTAGTAACGCTTGTGTTAAAGCCACATTTTGTTATCTTTAGATCAGGTGGTTAATTTGTGCAGAGGAAACGGCGGATCTGAGTCTATTGACTGCTGTAATGAGGGTCCTCTGAAAAACATTGTGTCTATTGGCGCATTCGAATTCACTAAGCACTGGCGCATATTCTGGCTTAACATAAGTCAGAATTTAAGAGAAGATGCTCATTATCTGAAAGGTTGGTTACATAAAATTAACTAATGATCCAGACTATATGTTAGGGAGTTTGAAACTAACATTGCAAAGTTTCCATCATCTCTTTGTAAACTCATACGGATATAACTATGATCAAAACAAGGATTTCGTTGAGGCATTTTTCCGTGAACTGGAAAGTTACATGCTGGGAAACCGGCAAAATATAGCGTCGTTGGTTGATGACTTTTTCGATGGCCTGTTAATTCGTGCACTCCGTGTAATGCTGTTTGTAAAAACTGAACGGGATAGTATTGTAGCCGACTGCGTTGCATCCAAGTTAAGACCTATGAAGCCATTTGATCAAGCGCCCGAAATAATAAGAGCTATGGCAACTCGCGCATTTCCTCCTTCCAGGATTCTTAGGAATGGTCTTCTTTTAGGAGATCGTGTGGTTCAGGTTTTATCAAAGGTAAGCGACACAAGTCATTCTTGATCTGTTGTTCCAAACTTTTACTTATAGATTGCAATCTATTCATCTAACTTAATGTGCCTGTACCACTTCAGTCTATTTCCTATAGTCAAGGCTCACTTTATATTAATTCATTTTCAACAATCGCGTTTCAAGTTGAAAATTTACTTCTGCGTTGGACCAAAGGGCATCCATAATCTAAACAACATCCATAATCTTGTGCACTTATTCATGCTTGACTACGGAATAGCATTAGTAATTAATTAACAATTAGAAACAACTAAGTTATTTAGAGAAAGTGGTTTTTGCCTCATTCTTAATGTCTTTGCAATACTAGGTACACATTATTTTACTGTGCATTGACGTATAATGTAAACAAATCGCACATTATTAGTTAGGGATCATCTCAAGTATGCCCCTAAAAACCAAGAGAGAACATCACCTTATCTGATTTGGTTTAAGTGAACAGATAGCATCATTGGCTCCCTTAGTGTGGATCAAACTCAACCACTCGGTGTGGGAATTAGGTGTTATTTACTCTGTAAGCTTGGCATTTCCATCCATCCAAATGTAAAATACTTCCATAAGATTAAAAAAGCCTCTGTATTCACCAACTCGTGATTAATAAACAAAACGTTCATGTACCTCGGTATTGGCTTAAGCCCTAATGAGATAACTGTGTACTGGTTTAATCGTCGCATGATCGAAGCCAAAATAAGATGTAGTTTGGTACTGTTTCGGTTCCGTAGCAACGTTTTTCTAATTCTAACGTGTGTTATCAATGTCTCGTCAGAATTTCTGAATTGCTTGGGTATAATCTCCGAGCAAGTAACATTGAGGTTCATTAAATGTTGTTGGTTTAATGTGGTAAAGCAGTTAATGAGGTTAAACACTCATTGATAAGGACAAGCAGCTGTCTGTATGGTGTTTGCAGTCGTGGAATCGATAACGTCGAAATGGAAGATGGTTCAAAAATCCAACGACAGTTTGAATGTCGTTCTATCGGTATGATTTCGCCTTCCTTTCCTTAAATTAAGATTTTTCAGGACGTCTTTACTTTTTGTCTCTTGTCTTCCAAATTTTAAAACGTTAGATAAGTAAAGTATTTTTAAATCTTTTGCTTCCAGGTAGCAGTAAATGATAGTTGTATAAATGAATGGATTAAACTACGTTACTGTAATTTATGTTCAGGAGTAATCCAACCTCTCATTTGTCGACATAGTTGTTTTAGTCGTTTGTCCACATGTTTTTTGTTATGGACTGCTTTTGATAAATACTGGCTATCATTCATTGGTAGGTTGAATATTTCATAAGTTATTTACATAAAAGTATTTTTTTTATGTCTGGATGCTGACTTGCAAACTGTCTGTCCCATTTATTTAGTAAACGAAGTTCCTGTTTTTATCGAAAATAATAGACAACCTATTGAAGAAACCTGACAGATTCACTGTATACTGGTTGCCTTTAGTTTCTGAATATAGCTTGTTTAGTTCCTTCAGTATTGTCTTAGGAGTTAGTTTTTAGTGTTGGTAATATGGTTTTAGTATTAGCTCAGGTGTAAATAATCTATGCATAGTAATGTCCTGAGAAGTTTGATTCCGTCTAGGTCACTGTATGAGCTATGGTAGTTTGGTCACAGGAAGTTGGATGTATGTGCTTGCGTCTATATTTTTAAAACCCAACGTTTGTGTGGTGATTGCGTTTAGCAGTAGCCGCATCGTTGTCCCCAAGGGAATATTTACATCTTGCGGAAGCACCATGCAAGTAATTCACAGTTGAAAATATAGTTTCGTAAGTACTTTCATTATTTCGGCATCAATCTAGCCCACATTTTCATCTGACGTCCAATCGATGTGACTTAAAACCTATTATCTCTTTTTTAAATTTCACTTATCGTCTTGTTGAAACATAGTTTTTGCCAATATCTGTCTTTACTATTCTGTAAATATAGTTAATCTTTAACATTTTGATAAGATTTTTTAATTATTTTATTGGTTAGTATGCAGTCCATTAATTTTATGACAAGTAGTTTCAACTCGTTGATACGGTACACTCTAACATTGTGGTGACACTAAACATTATTCTTTTATATAAGCAAAGGTTCTAGTACAACAAGATGCAAAAAATTTCATATATGAATCGATAATGTGCGAAAATAAAAGTGGGAAGCTTGTTGGTCGGTGAATAGATGAGCGCGGGTAGTATTTGACAAGAGAAACAACCAAGAAAGACTTTTTTGATTTAAGTAAGATAATCCCATTTTAATGAAATCCAACAAGAAGCTACATTAGCGACGTCACTAGCTTCTATTCTGAATCGTATCTTATTACAAGTTAAGTCAGTGTGTGACGAATGAGAACATAGATGGTAACAACCAATATATTTCGATACAAAATTACGGAGCTCTTTCGTAAAATGTGAAAACCATACATTAAATACTTCATTTGCAAATCCTCTATCAACTATCTCAATCTTCATCGTTCTTTTATTACCATCACAATTACTCTCTGTTCCGAGCCATTTAGTCGAACAGCACACGGGCGACTATTAATGGGGATCCATTCTAATAGTGTTTGTTCTGCCCTCGTACTAAGTGCTATGCCTACACCTGCAAGTCCATGAGAACTAGCCATAGGGTCGCCAGATACACGGAGGTTGTATTTCATCGGCTGTCCATTTTGGCGAGGTAAGGTCAAGTGAATGACCACACTAGGATCCTGTATGCGTGTTTCAAAGACACAGCATACATCAATGGTACGAAATTCTAGGGTCTTAGCCAAGGAGGCCTGTTAGCCGATTTGACATAGGGTGCGTACGTTGAAGGCTTCAATGTGTAGTTTGGAGCGAGGTTTTAGTAAACCTGGGAAAGTGTTTTGTGCACTAGAATCGTTGGTCGTTGTGACACTTGAAAAGGAGTTCGAAAGAGGAAGTTTAGTGTTGAAAGTCGAGGTAGGAGGAGTAATAGGGATTGAAGAAGGAGACTGATCATGAGTACAGTGACCTTGATTGTTGTTAGATGTATGAGGGTAGTTACCACTTCCTGGTTGCTCACACCGTGGAAGGATTCTTCTAGAGGTACCTGAAAAGGAAATTGGGTTAGAAGTGGTATTAATGACCTGAGAGCATGACCGCAGTGCCCAAGGGACAACTGCTTGTGGTCGGTCACATACGACCTTTTTGTGGGTGATTCTTGTGTTAGCTCCGTACTTGTTGGGACCTTACCGCGGGAGACGGATGCTTTTGGTATGAGGCGAGGTGTGCATTTTTAGGGTCGACCTTTTCTAACCCCACCCCTCCTTGTGGGAAAGCAGCATCGCTGTCATGCTGGTTGTCTGAAGGAAACACCTTACAGCTTTCACACCTCTGTACAGTCAGCAGTACGACTTCGCCTTCGGACATTGGGTTTGCGGCTTTTAGTCTCACCGCTCTTCAAACGACCTGTCTGGCATGATAGGACCTTGAGGAACGATTGTTCCAGCCAGTATAGCTCGATTGGTTCGTCAAGATAGGCAAGCCCGACCACCACGTCAAGGTAGCAGCAACGGTCGGGGCTGATAGTATCCGATCAACGGACATTGAGTATCTTGTATAAACAAATGCTTATAAATACTTGTGCATATTTGATTATCGTTCTGGTAGTTCTGCAAGTTTTAGCTCCGTACAGTAGGGCTGTCTGGACGTTCGTATTGAAGATTCTTACTTTATTATTGGTTGATAGTTGTTTTGAGTTCCATATGTTCTTCAACTGTAGGAATGCGGCCCTTGCTAGGGTCGCTCAAATCATAACGTATCGTTAGTCTATGAAGTCATTAGCTGCACGCTCGGGCCATGTTGGTGGACATAGATTACTTGATTGGGATCTACGTGATTATGATAACCAACGGTTGGATATATTGTGTAGCAGATGCATGCATTTTTCATCATCCCTCAGATCTGAGGTCCTGAAATTATCTTATACTTTTCCATCCCACAGATTCATTCTTAATTTTCGAGTCATATCCTCTACGTCTTATCTTTTATACTACCATTGATACTGTTACTACGTCTCTCTCTAATATATATATATATATATATATATATATATATATATATATATATATATATCGTCTTGTAGTGTAAATGGTCGATTTTATGTTGAGTCATATTGGCTAACATGGACTTTAGAGTGTTTTGTCAACTTATGCGAATCATCGTTTCATTCCTATTACATACCGCATATTATCTATTAAAAATGTTCCAATAAAACCGTTCTTTCCACAGCACCCTATTTTCAAGTTTAAAGTAAGTGAAATCTACCTTATTTTTCTAGATCAGATTGTTCGTGTTGCTGAACGTTTAAAAAACTCCAAAATTTTCCCCCAGGTTATTCGACCATTACAAATACATATATCTGATGCTATTATGAATCTTCAAACTATACTCTTTCGACTGGATCAATCTGTAAGTTTAAGTGTTATTCAGAGTTTTTTTTCAGTAATTCTATGATATGTTGAAATTAGAGTGGTGATTTCATAAAATAAGCAACTGAATTTTGACCACTAGTCGTGGTCCACTTTCTTCGGTGTAGTATAGGGAGTTTTATCATTAGCCTTCAACGCAATATAGCTCAAATCTGAGTACTTGGACCACTAAATTTAATTCTTGAGGCATATCATTGCATCAATAGTTTTATACCTCTTCAAAATGTGTGTTTTTGAGCTATTAGGTTAATTCATAATTCCTGAGTCTTTGTTCCCCTATATGATTTTCGATCAAACATTATCCCAAAGTTCTTAGAAAGAAGTATTTTTGTTCATCTGCTCACTCTTAACACGTTTATTAATTGACAATTCATCATCCTTTACGTTGTTGTACAGCGTTGTGTAGTTAATCTGAATCAGGTTCTACCAACTTTACTCTCGTTGAAAAAAAACTTTTTGTATCGTTTCTTCAAATAGGCTCTGAGGAACACGACAATTTTTCCATTGTTGATAAAGCAACTCATATATGGCCATGTTATTGATGTCTAAATAACAAATAGGCTTTAAAAAATTTTCGTTGTATCTACTTCTATAGATCAATAATATATGGTTCTATTAAATGTGTCCATGATCAATTGTAAGTCGTTAAGTGAGCTCAAGATGATATTTATTCAAAAATCTATAGTACCATTGTTATGCTCCTACTAAGTTGTATTTAATCTACCAATATACATCATCTTAGTTTGAATAAATTGAAAGCAAGATATTATAAATACTCTAGGTTATTCAATGATGACAACTGTTAATCGACGAGACAGGTCTTAGAAATTGATTAGATAAAATGAAGCTAACCAGGCTATCCGAATATGTCCTTTGCCATTTGAAAAGCGTAAATTTATAAGACTAACTTCTTATGAATCGATTAGTCCTACTAGACTAACATACTCCATTTTCCGTATTAGTACACAATGAAGACGCTGATCATTCTTTGATCCAAACTTAAGTATTCGTTTATCATGTTATATTCAATCTTCCTTTTTTAAATTTTTGTTCTTAATGTATAATGGTTACATTGTTGTGGTATAAAATTCTAGCTGAATCTTTTATTTGTTTGTGGACTAAATTATAATATACTCTGAGTCTTGAGTATCCGACTTCAAACACTACCCATCAAGGTGTTTGTGAAGCAAGGTTATTACAATAGATATAGCTTTTAGTCTAGAACATGAACATGTACACAGTTGTTGACATATTATGTATGTATTTTTAATTACTGTTTGATTTAATACACCTGTCAACATGTGCTCAGCTTTTAGATATAATGTTAAGTGATATCTTTAAATTAACCAGGATAATCAAATTTCCTATACTTCTTATTCCAGTTATGGCCCCCAAATGCCTTGGTACGGCCGAGATTTAGGAGAGTACGCTATTCCTCTCCAAATGCTCTCACATGGCCACGCGTATATAGCCTCTGCCAGGGAGGTCCCACTTACTGCCTTCTCGTGACATTACTGTTGTTTACGAAACTGAGAGGACGAAAAGCGAATGTCCAGCACTTTAACCGGTTTGGTGGACACGGAAAGTTTACCTAGGGGAGTTGGAAAACCCTCATTCCAAACCAATGGTGCACATGGGCTCCAGTATCCTGAAGGAACAAATGGCATATGAATCAATGGTTGGTCACAGGCTACCATGGGACTGCATCTCCTTACAATGCTCCACTACCTTGTGGATCAGACTTTCAGGTCAAAGGCTCTGGTTGTGGCCCCCTAAAAAAACCACCTGTTTCAGTTTGGGCACCTGATCAGTATCACAGCCCTCACACAAATCAAATGAGATTTGTGTGGCTCATGTCTGTCTGGTGCCTCTTTGTACCAATATTTATGTGTTCAAATAAATAAATAAGTCAGTCGTTTATGCATCTCCAATATACGGTTATTGATAAGTCAATTTGTCATGGTAATTCGCTTATGGTGTAATGGACTATATTAACTATTATCAGTTTACTAACTCATAGCCGTTAATCGTTTTTTATCCGAAATACACAGAATATATGGATACTTTAAAAGCTAAACGTATTCTTAGCAACCGGCTTGTTACACTTCAAAGGCATCCAATCTCTTTGCTTTTGTTGTTTGCCACCTAAATTCAACCAATACCTCTAATATATATATATATATATATATATATATATATATATATATATATATATATATATATATATATATAACTTGTACTACGTATTTAATTTTTCTGGGCTTTAAGTGTTTTAGTTTTCAAATTTATACTATTTGTTTAGGATGAATTTTTCAATGACTGTTTATTAGAAAACTCAAAAGAGCATCAGTCATTTCTTCCCAGGACTGATTATAGGCAACGACGACAACAGGAGTTTGTATTTGTTGATCATGATGTCGTAAGTCAGGATTACAAACATCCTTATGTTTATGGCAATTATGATATGCTGAAATCATGGGCGGACAGTATTCATAACAAGGTATGCACATGCACAAATATTTTTTGTATATATGCATATGAAAATGTCTTACGTTTTTTATGGCGTAGATACGAATTAGAAAAAGTGTTTACGATATCATCATCATCATACGGTATTTATGACAATGCTTTGTTCCTGCTTACTAATAAAAGGTTTTGTGATCCTTAGGCTAAACAGAATGAAACCTGATTATACTCTGCTTTGAATGCGATGCTTGGTAGTAACCAACATGTCTTACATCAAGTAGATGTGCTTGCTTGCATTTATCGTCATAGTATGTCTATAATCTTTTATATACTAGTACTTTCTTGCAGTTTGAGATAAGCCCAACTGTTAAGTGGTAAAAAATGATCGGGATTTGTGTATTTTTAATAAATGAAAGCGGGGTCCGCTGGGAGGAGCTTAGTAGCCCTCATATTTGACTCTAGTTTAATCATATGCTGATTGTTATCGAAATATTCATGCTGCCAACCCTCGTGTATTTTTATCGACTCAATTCATGTTAGAGAATGGCGAGATAAAATAAGTCAAATACCAGAATAAATTTTGATTATGTATATTTTATATACTCATTAACCCCAACAGACAATCAGAGAGATAAAGTTAGGGAAACGAAGCAAAATAGCGCGCAGTAGGGAGGGCGAGTAAGCCAAACATTTTGATCAAATGTTACTCAATATTTACATTCAGACAAAAATAAGTTACAGACACGTGATGATTTGAGTAAGCAATTAATATACATACGATCATAAACAAACAGTTAGGATCAATAAGCAGATAATCACCAAGGTCAAAATGTGGCTTGAGAAGAATGAATAAATTGATCTGTCCAGAAGGTAGAATAACCTATGTCTGTTTGACATAGTACGTCACTGTCCACACATGCTGTTTCGGGGATAGTGGGGTTTGAATCCACTACGGGGCATGTTTCTGAATTGGACAGTAGTGAACCACTGGGTGTATATTGAGTGACTGCTGTTTCGTTTAGATTACGGCTTGTCGTGGATTCATAGAGGTTGCAATCATTTTCCAGTTCTGTGTGCAATTCAGAGATCAATCTATCCACTTCCGACGCATATGCAAGGCATTGGTGATTCAGCAGCTGCGTGCGTAAACTGACCATAAACTCCAAGTGTCGCTCGAACAGCAACTGTAATCGATCGGAATAGAGTCCTTTTTTACTGTATGATTAATGGCCAATGTCGTTCTAGGAAAGCAACGACAATTCTGGATGCTGATCGCACGAAATAATTACCTGATTTTCGACCAATTGCAGGCTGACTTCGGTTAGATTTTTTTTACCCCGTCGCCAATTGTTATAACTAATAGGGTACTTGTTATAACGCTAGGGTTTTTTGTTATAACAGTCCTTTCACTTTTTTACGAAACCCTTCTTTCGCAGGAACAGGTATCCATACAACTTTATCAAAGTTGTACACCAGATTGATCATCATCTACCTTTATACCACTGAAAGTCATCAAATGGTCAGTCCCACTTTGTGTGATAAATGTGTCAATGTTCACTGTTGTGTTGCTTATGGAGAAAGTTCTTTGAAACCCGTCATTCACGATTTCCCTCAAATCCCTTTACTTTAGAATAGGAAAAAATGTTCCAGTTCTATGTTATAAGTATAATCAATCCTAACTTCACACATATTTCCATACTTCTATTAAATGAGTAAAACTTGGGTAATAGATATCGAAGATGTAACTTAGATAAACCTACGCTTCTTTACTGAGTTGTAACGTGTTATGTTACATTTTACATCGTAGTATAGTTTAATAGGTTTCTTGAAGCTCATTTGCTTTTTCGTTTTTTGTGTGACCTTTTTCAGTATCTCCCGGTACGCAAACCATTTTCTACCATTATCAAGTATTTTTGTAGTGAGGATCTTCTACGTGTTTCAAAGGAAAATAATGATTATTTATGTTGGACAGGTGATAGATTAATACCTACGTAAGACTTGAAAAAGTTTCAATTTAGTTCACCCTTTTCTTATTTGGCATTTTTCGTTACAAGCTCATCAGAATTGTCAAACTATCTCTTTTTGAGTTCAGACATAATGACTGAACTGTAACACACTTTACACTTGAAAATTCCTGAGTATTTTCTATGACAGTTAGAAAATCTCATTGTAGAAAAGAAGTAACAAGTGAAAACAGAGTGGTAGACACAAAGTTGCTACACTTTGTGATAGTTCAGTAAGAAGAAAATTGTAGAATTAAGTGAATATTAAGAAAAACATCATACATAACTGTAAAATATTGATGAATCAAGAGTAATAAGATTCTCAGAGTCTAGAGGTAAGCAAAGAAAAGCAAACATTTGAGCGGAAAACTGAACATAAGGGATATTGTTTCACAAAACGAATAGAATTCAGAGTAAAAAAAATTGGCACAATATCAAAGTTTCAGATTTAGAGCGGACGGCTGCTCAGTATATATATATATATATATATATATATATATATATATATATATATATATAAACGATCATATGCTCACCAGTGACTGGCTCCGTGAGGTATTTCCTGGAGTTTTAGTGAGAAGCATTGACCAGTGGAGTTCAACCAGGTCTGTTGTGAAATATCAACTCACTGAAGACATTGGTGAATGGTTGCTCAGTTTCGTGGATTAGTTGAAGTTAGACATTAACACAGTTGGATGCCGGCTCAGTGGTCTATTGGTTAAGTGCTCGCGCGCGAGACTGACAGGTCCTGGGTTCGAATCTTGTGAGGCGGGATTGTGGATGCACACTGCTGAAGAGTCCCATTATAGGACGAGTTGGCCGTCCAGTGCTTTCAGGTTTTCCATTGTAATCTAGCTTTAATTGATTCATGATCTCATCTATCAAAGTTTATTATTGTCAAATCTAAAAGGCTATGAGATTAGTAGATTGGACTTCATTTTGAATTATTATCTATGATGGTCGTTATTGTATATGCATCTTTTTAACCCTCATTTCAATTAAACCAGTTTAAATAACTAAGTTGTTATCACAAGGGGGGTTTGTGGATATTTTAGTAATTGTATATAGTTAAGATCATGAGTCAGTTGAAGCTAAACCACCATGGAAAACCTGGAAGCACTGGACGACCAACTCGTCCTGTTGTGGGACTTCTCAGCAGTGCGCATCCACGATCCCGCCTCGCGAGTGAGATTCGAACCCAGGACCTACCAGTCTCGCGCTAGAGCACTTAACTAAGTTGTTGTTAGATCTCAGTTTTATTGCTTTTGGTTGTTGTTATTTTTATATATTAGTCTATTTGTTACTACCGTTTTCCTAAGTGATGTATTAGCTCATTCATATGTATTTATAATTTACTTTACAGATCAAATATAACCGTAAATCTGATCGAAAATGAATCATTTCTTAAAATACATCCTATGGCTGTCCGTGTCATTAAAGATTTACAATACATAACTGAAATTATGCAATCTGTAATTCAAAATAATTCTGATCCTAATTATGTGCCAATTGAAGGGGAAAATAGAATTCAGTCTATAGATAACATAACTGTCTTCCTTCCATTGCCGAGTTATCCGACAACAAACCCAGTAAGTATAATGGTTTGTATATTTTTAGTTACATGACATTCAGAAGAGTTCTTTCTGTACATGTTTATGCTTAACGAGCTGTTTTACTGTCTGCTTAATAAAGTTTAGGGGATATACAAATCGTTATCACACTCGTTTTCACAAGTGAAAGTCATTGCCGACTGTACACAGTTAAACTGACTTAAGAATTGCTTATTGGTGTTCTGATGGATAATGATGATGATGAATGTATCGTCAATAAATCTAGTTTCTCCTAAACCTCGTTAACAACTCCATTTTTTAATTTGACTATAAAGCAACCAGCTAGCATTCTGAAGTTGTACCACAGTCATTTCGTCAATTTGTTTACATCTTTGTTAAAGACTTACATAGTAAATCGTTCCAAGTAGCCTACCGTATGCCCTTTCAGTTTTCCAACGGGGTTCGAGTCTACAATACCGTTCTATGTCTTCATAATAAATTTGTAACCTCCCTGTCCTTTTCCTTAGGCTAATATTACATGATAGACGATTTTGATCATTTTTCCACACCCTAGTTTTGGTTGTTTTTCACCAATTTCTATATCTCTTTACTGCTTACACATATGAACTGATTAGTCGCATATTTTTTACTACACAATTTCTATCGGTTGTTATTTTACCGTTAATGTTCCCAAGTTCCGACTCAAGTCCAATATTAAGACATTCGTCCATCTCTGCTGATAATTTATCCGAGCTGTTAATATTTTTATCATTACTCGTCATTTTACTATCTGTCGGCGATCAACATTAAGACTGTTGATTTTCATTGGCCCAAGTCGCCATACCACATTAGTACAATACGATGAATATAATAAGATAAATAATAAAAAGATCGAAATAATGTACCAGCAACATTAATGAGAAAGAAGAAGGATTGAGAATATATGGTTCGGAAAAGCAGAGTGAAAAGATGGTAAAAGTATGGTATCCTGACGGCCGTATTAGTGTAAAATAAGTCCGGTTCGCCCTGTCTCTCAGCCCTACGACCAATTAGAAAAGTGGTTTTCTAAACGCCTAATGAAGTGTCTACTTTAAACAAATATTGCAGTTCTTCAAATTCGGCAACAAATTGTTATTCTTATTATCGTGGTCACTATCTCGTACGTCTATTTTGAACAGCTTGAGAATAGTCTATATAGAGGGAAGTTTTGAAAATCCTTGAGAAATGTTTGATGAATTTCACGTTGAATAAGTTTTAAGTGCGAACAACATGCCTTTCTTTTGAAATTAAAAAGTCATACTCGGCATTCTTCACCACATATATTCTCAAAAACTTTTACTTCTTTAATTTCCAAAGAAACTTAATTAACTTTTATTCCGTAGATTGTTGACATCTGAGTTGAATTAAGAATGCTTGCAGGCAGCCTATGCTCCTCCGCTAGGGGTCACAGGCGTAGGTGAACTTTCTTCCAACCTACTTAAACACTAGCAAACGTTATACGTGGAGATGGATAGTTGATAGTGTTTTGTATTGTCCCAACCACCTTGATCGATGTAGATTCGCTACATCACCAATCAATTTTCCTCCTTTCCCTGGTACCACTTACCTAACCTCAGCACTTGTACCTTGATAGTTCCGACATACGTGAGTAATGCTTCGAGGTTATCTATGGTCGGATGCCTGCATCCTACACATGTCCTTTTGTTTTCTAGGACCATGTTTCTTAGCTATAATATAGTACATCTTACCATCAACATCTACTTTTTACGTACTACTATTAGTTATGTAATCTATTTCATCATCTCCAACGGTTATATTTGGTCTCATATTTTTGATGTAAATATTCAACTGCATATTATGGTGAAGGATAATAAAAATCTAATTGGAAGCAATGTTTTTCTAAACTACACTTCAATATTTATGATGCCCATTTTCTTGTTTTCTAGTACCATTTAGTTGACTCCAAATGATTCTTAAGAAAAAACAATGGTTTATAGTTCGTCGATTAACTTCGTAGTTATTCACAGCTTTAATGGTTAGTGAACAATGGAATAGTGAATAAAGTACGAAATTTTCAGATCCATGTATGTTATACATCCGTTAATGCAAATAGATAATAAGTGACACCGATCAGAGGTAAATACTGTCTTCTTAAAATAGACAGTGATTAATATGAGCAAAGTGACGGACACTGTGTAAGATAATTAAGTGTATAGATAGATGCACAGACGTTCATAAGACGCACAAGTAGAAATTTGACTAGGATAAAAATAAAATGGGTACACATATTGATGGTCACAATCGCGTTTGAAGTGAATGGAGTTATTAGGATGGTAGTAATGATTCTAGTCAGATGTTATCTAACATATTAACGTCTTTCCTAAAGCCAGAATAAACTCAGGCATCATAACAGAGAAATCGCTACAGGATGCTTAATCGAAAATTAAACTGGATGTTTACAATTCGGTTTTTGAATAAAACAGTGTCGACAGTCTGTTTTTCCACCGCTACTACAGAAAACATTCCGTGAGTGTTAAGTAAATGAAATCCTAATCACAATTGATTGATCACTGGGTGGCGATCAATGTCATGCGTGTCAAGTCCATCTTAGTGCTGATCGAATGCTATCGATCAAGTTGCAATGTGGCCACTAATCGCCACCCAGTGATCAATCAATTGTGATTACATCTCAGTCCTACAGGAGGTCGGTCACGGCACGAATAACTCAATGGTAACGTCTCTGACTGTGAAGTTGGGTGACACGGGATCGAATCTGTCAGGGAGCACCAGTTCCCTCAAGATTATAGGTACACCTTGCTGACGAGTGCCAAGTAGCACGAAACCCGGGTCCAGAGTTTCCTGTTAACCACCTCCAACCAATATATTTAATAAAATCCCAATCCAATCCATTGTTTCAGCAAATTATAAACAGTTTATAGCTATGCTTCTAACCACTTGTACAATTTCGTACACCTTAATTCATGACTTTTGTCTCCAAGATAATTTCTGGATCATAAATTGAAACGTTTTTCTAAAAGTTCATTGTTTTCATTACAATTTGAAGCAAGCTAGTTTACTATGAAATGCGATCTTTCTTTAATTTTAGGGTTCAAACCTAACAACTTTAAGCTATTTAGAATCTCTGAGTAAAATACATTCTCCATCCTTACCAAATCATGTCAAAAAACCATTTCAATTTGATGAAAATCATATTAAAACTTCTCGTTTTTCAATCAGAAAACAAATGAAAACTAATAAAGTAACATATTTTAATCCTCCTCATAATTTATGGTTACCATCAGCTAATATACCATCATTTAATTATCAACGAAAAATTATTTGGACATTTAATTCTAATAGTAATAATATACTAAAGTTCAATTCATCTACTTTGGTTTATATTTCAATTGTATATATGTATTTACTTATTTATTAAATGATCAACTTATAAGTTGACAAGTACTTTACATTTTTACAGTTTCCTTTTATTGTTTAACATTTGATTTAATCTGTTAATGATTATCATCTATCCATTGCATAAAATAATCACCTATTCAGATGAAATAAAGAAACAAAACATACTTCTCTTTCAGTTTAGTAAATAAATCCATCAATGTATTTTTTATACGTTGAAATAAGTCATAGTTTGTGATTAGGTTCTGATGAATGGTTAATATTTTATTGTTCTATTCTTTCAAACTATGCAAGTTATTCATTTTCCTGTAGTCATTGTATGAAATATCATATTATATATATATGAGATATGTTTTGTTAATGTATTTGAGTTTTCTTATATTATAAACTGCCTTATCATCATTATTCTAAACTTATTAATTTAATAAAATACACATTTTAACATTAATGAACACTTATTCCTCCGTTTGATATCAGTCAGTCAGCTGCAACGTAGAACCGGGCACATATATGCCATACCTCATTAACACAACAAGATAAACACGAAATTCATAGAAGTAGTTAATTTAGTGGTGGTAATATATGAAGGAAAGATTGTGTGTAAGGATCTAGTAGAGAACTCCGACTATAGCTCTCCTAGAGTTACTGTCAGTCCCAAGCCTCGGTAAAAATGGAGGGTTAGCAACCCCGTCTCGTAAGAAATATCTGGCTAAAAGACGTCAATTAGATTAAACAAATTTAAACACGGTCCTGGGAGTTGAAGGAAGAATTATGGCACCTCAGAATGAAAGCCAAGATTTTTTGGAAGTCACGAGACCGATGCCCCTTCTAGCAACCAGAACACCTTTTAAGGGTACATGGGATGTCCGGACAATGTGGGAGACCGAGAGGGTTAGTCAAATAACAACCAAAATTAGGAGATACAACTTTGCAGTACTCAAAATCAGCGAAACCTAAGCTGAGCAGCAAAGGTTAGATGTTGCTGTACTCCGGTCACGAAGAGAAAAATGCTTCACATACTCAGGGAGTTGCTCTGATGCTGTTCAGAGAAGCACGAAATGCACTCGTAAGATGAGAGTCTCACAAATCGAGAATCGTCAAAGCATCACTCAAAACAAAGGAGAGGATCACAATGGAGATGACAGCTTCACATCACCATCTGGTTTTTGCCAAGATGAAACTGAAGTTTAAGAAACACTGTACAAACAGCATTAAAAAGGTTCAATTCAGCCATCCTTCGAGATATTGAGAAATTCAAGATAACTCTCAACAACAGGTTCCATGCTCTACAGAAAGAAGAAACTACGAGGACAACTGAAAAGGGCTCAAAGAAGCACTAACTTCAACGTGTCAGGAAGTTCTGGGACGCAAGAAGCATCACAATAAAGAATGTATTTCTATCGGAACCCTGGCCATGATTCAAGAAAGGAAGAACAAGAAGACAGCAATTAGCAACAGTCGAACAAGAACAGTGAAAGTCAAGGCGCATGCTGAATACACAGAAGCAAACACACAAACGAAGAAGAGCATTAGAGCAGAAATATGTGGAAGAGCTAGTAACGACAACGGAAACGGCTGCAAGGGAAATGAATATGAAACAGCCATATGACATGATGAAGAAACTAGTAGGGGAATATAAAAGACCTAGAAAAGAAGACAATTACTGAGATTCGGGAACACATAAACATATGGTTGGGACAATTAGGAGAAATCTTGAGTAGACTAACTCCATTTAATCCACCGGAAATCGAAGCAGCACACACAAACCTTACCACAGATTTCACTTCACCAACGATTGAAGAAATCAGCATGGCTACCAGACAAATGAATAGTGGGTAAGCAGTACGACCAGAAAATCCACCAGCTGATGCGTTCAATACAGACATAGGAGTAACTGCGAACATGCTTCACCTCCCATTCAAGAAGATTTAGGACGAAGAACAAGTGCCACTAACAGACTGGAAAGAATGCTACCTCATCAAGATACCAAAGAAAGGAGATCTGAGCAAATGTGAGAATTACCGAGGCATCACGCTGTTGTCAGTACCAGGAAACGTTTTCTACAGAGTGTTGCTGAACCGAATGAAAGACGCAGTGGACATACAACTTCGAGATCAACAGGCTGGAATCCGTAAGTATCGGTCGTGAATCTTCTTCGACACTACGTAGTACCTGAAAAAACGTCAACATCATCCGGAATTCATACGAATGACTACCCTGCAATGTAATGAATAGACAACAACTGACAAACGCATTCCCAGTAAGGACCGGAGTCAGACAAAGCTGTCTTCCCTTCCCTTTCTTCTGGTGATTGACTAGATTATGAAAATCTCGACATCTGAAGGGATGCGCGAAATACAATGTACAGCTCAGAATCAGACGATTTGGACTTCACAGGTGATCTATCCCATACACGCGAACAAATACAGATGAAAACAACTAGTGTAGCTGCAGCCTCTACACCATTGGGTCTCAACATGCACAAAAGAAAAAGCAAGATTCTAAAACAACACGGAGAACACCGTCGCTATCACACTTTATGGCAAAACTCCGGAAGATGTGCAATCTCTCACGTACCTGAGAAACATCATCTATGAACATTGAGGATCTGATGTTGGCGTAAAGGCGAGAATCGGAAAAGCAAGGGTCGCATTCCTACAACCGAAGAACATATGGGACTCAAAAAGTCTCAATCAATATCAAAGTGAGAATCTTCTATACGAACGTCAAGACAGTTCTGCTGGGTGAGTAGAGACTTTTCTCACAGGAGAAACGTTTAATAAACTTACACTCTGCTTGTCACCCTCTTTCGAATTCCCTAATGAATGGTTATCTTGTTTGCCTACATTTAACAATGGATTAGGATGTCGTATTAATGTAGTGGAATTCTTGATATGTTGATGAATCTTTTTATGAAATTATAAGCAAAGATGGATAGTAGCTAGCAGTGGAATTCAAGACGCGAGTTTCGTCCTATTTGAGACTCGTCAGCTGAATGTACCTGCATCTCAGAGTTGATGCTCACTTTGGAACTCGAACCCAGTACCATTCGATTCAAACGCCATCGCGTTATGCACTCAGCTACTGAGTCCTGATAGCCACTTGCTTGTGCAATGGGGTGAAGTTTGTTTGAATCTTTCCATTGGTGTTTAGGACTTCATCCTGCATTCCACTGTTAGCCACTATCCATCTTTGCTTATAGTGCTTGTGAATTAAGGGAATATCGAGGCGATACGCACAGTATGCACATATGCCAATATGAGACTGATCAATTTATGAAATGTTTCTCCTTTACAGCATAAGAAATTTGTACACATTGCATGGTCTAATGGTAGTTCATTAACAGCTGCATAGGAAAGTGAGATTGGCTTATCTGGAAGTGCCAAACGTTTAAGGAAGTTGCAGACTTTGTAGCAGCAAATAAATCCCCTAAAAATTAATAGCTATTTAAGCCTTCGACATTAGTTTTTGTGTACTCACCTACCTGAAGGCGCCCGGTCATGCTTTCGCACCAGATCACTAGTGAGAACGCCGTCCTCAAAATTTTCTGCGATCGCTAACCAGCTCACATCAGTCACTACGTTGACAACCTGCCAAATATATCTTCGAACTTCCTCGCTTGTGACTTTTAATTTAACTGGAGGGGTACGATTCGTGGTAGAAAGTGTTGCTGGTTAAGGTGTTTTCAAACTACAAATAATCGTAGCATCTTCAACTTCTTTTCTGATGAATGTAGTGGGATAATTACCAAAATTCATATCCTCAACTTTTTCTTTGTTCATGGTCCGGATTTCGAAACTTCCAAAATAGTTCTCAAAGCGTCAAAAAATTTAATGTATTGAAGCCGTACAAATGGTTCTGGATGGAATAGAATTTTGAGCTTAACAGATTTCCGTATTCAGCAGCAATGGATCACTGATGCCTCCAAGCAGAAACCTAGGTATATTGCTGATGTCTCAGACGGACTACTTGACACTTTGAAGTGTTGAAGGTAAGTCCGTCGTTGTCTGCCCTACTCTGAAACCGAGTCAGATCCTCCTTAAATGTCACTTTATCTCCTTGGTTGTAAACTTCTCTCCATAGTTTCTCATCCCTAGCGGAAAGTAATGAATCTTGCGATACCTGGTGTGGAAGATCGTTTATATAAATTAAGAGTAGAAGAGGTCCTAGTACTGAGCCCTGAGTGATACCACTGAAATATTCCATAGCCTGAGAGAAAGTGAAGTTTACTCTGACCTTCAGAAGTTGGTCATTCAAATATGAAGTAGGCCGATCAGTTAGTTGCGATTTGGTGTCTAATCATTTGAGCTTGTTCAAAATACATGTACGGTTGCCCCGATCGAAAGCTTTTGAGAAGTCAAGCTATAGGACGTCAACCTTCTCTTTGCGAACAAGGATATTGTCCATCTGTTCATCAAGGCCAGCTGGTTGGTTATATACGAGTGGTATTTTCTGAAACCATTTTGTTGGGGCGAAGAGAAGTTTATGGATTAAAAGCAGTCGTGTATACCATCTCGTATCAAAGATTCCTAGATTTCTGATAGTAGAGAGAGAAGCGCTACCGGTCGTCAACTTGAAGGTTCGCTGTGCCGACCTCCTTTAAAAACTAGTATGATGTGAGCCGCCTTCCAATTTTCCAATAACATGCCTCGGCTTAGCGAATTTGCTAAGCAGTTTTCATCTCTCTGTGCGGTGCGCAACTGCCCAATCGCAGGCTCGATCGTGTTGCCAATGTAATGATTAGATGTATTATATTCACTATACGAACTAGGAATCCTAGAAATAACAGAATTTAGACCGAAAGGAACAAGATGAGCAAAAAGCGAACGTATGGCAACGCTTTATGGATGATGTCCGTTGGTAGAGGTTTTTGATCACTTCAAGGTCAAACTGTCGTAAACGATTGGTGTGTAGCCTCGACAATAAGGAAGGTTTTTCAGAAGCG